TCTGAAACTGAAAACTGGAGACCCTCTTGCAGTATGCATAATTGTTCTACTATTACTGAAGAAGAACAACAAGCATTGCAAAGTCCCTTTGATGAGAAGGAGATCCTTGAATGTTTAAAGCTATGTGCAATCGACAAAGCTCCTGGTCCAGATGGGTATTCTATGGTTTTTTTTATTTAGTGCTGGGAGGTAGTTAAGTCAGATGTTGTGGCTACTATCCAGAATTCACTCTCAGGAGATGTTTCAAAAAAGCTTCAATGCCACATATGTAGCTTTGATTCCTAAAAAGAATGGTGCCAAGGAATTAAGGGACTTCAGACCTATTAGTTTAAATGGCAGCATCTATAAGCTGATCTCCAAAACTCTCACTGAATGACTTAAAAAGGTGATGCACAAACTAGTTGACTCTCATCAAATGGCATTCATTAAAGGCAGACAAATTACAGATGCAGTTTTGATAGCTAATGAATGCTTGGATTCTAGGTTAAAGGTAAAAAAAACTGGCATAATGTGCAAGTTAGATATCGAAAAGGCCTATGATCATGTAAATTGGGAATTTCTACTAGGGATCTTCCAGAAAATGGGGTTCGGAAGGAAATGGATCAACTGGATGAAGTTCTGCATTAGCACTGTCAGGTTCTCAATCTTGATAAATGGATCTCCTGAAGGATTTTTCCCCTCCCAAAGAGGATTGAGACAAGGTGACCCTTTGTCTCCTTTTCTTTTTATACTAGCTATGGAAGGATTGAACAACATGCTGAAGACTGCTCATGGAAATGGCTGGATTAATGGATTCAATGTGGCTAATATTCAAAGAAACAGGATGGAAATTACTCACCTTCAGTATGCAGATGGTACCTTGATTTTTTGTGATGCAGAGGAGAGTCAATTAAGACATTTAAGGGTTATCTTGGTACTGTTTGAAGCTATATCTGGGCTCCACATTAATTGGAAGAAAAGCCAAATATTTCCAGTAAATGAGGTACCTAGGATACAACTGTTGGTGGATATTTTAGGTGGGGAAGTTGGAACAACTCCAACCATTTACTTGGGTATGACTCTGGGAGCAAAAAGCAAGTCCAAAGACATTTGGAATGATGTTTTGGAAAGGTGTGAGAAAAAGCTTGCAAGATGGAAATCCAATTATCTGTCTTTGGGAGGCAGATTGGTGCTCATCAATTCTGTTATGGATGCACTTCCTACCTATATGATGTCTTTATTCCCCTTACCAGCAAGTGTAGAGAAGAGATTGGAAGTTTTGAGAGAAAATTTTCTGTTGCAAGGAAACAAAGATAAGAAAGGGATCCATTTAGTTAAATGGAAGACCCTGACTATCAGTAAACAAGGAGGAGGACTGGGAGTTAGGAATTTAAGAAGGCAAAACAAAAGTCTATTGATGAAGTGGCTATGGAGGTTTTCAAAGGAGGAGCAAGCACTATGGGGCAAGGTGATTAGGGCAAAATATGAAAAGGAAGGATTTTGGATGACTAAAGGGGTGCATACTCCTTATGGAGTCGGTCTCTGGAGATCCATAAGGAATTTGTGGCCAAACCTGAAAGATAAGCTGAGTATTATTGTGAAAGATGGAAGGAAAACATTGTTTTGTTAAGACAATTGGTTGGGAATTGGAAGTCTAAAACAACTATATCCTGACATCTATACTCTGAATCAACAACATGGGGTTACTATGAAGGAACTATGGTCTACACAGGGTTGGAATCTGACATTCAGAAGATTCCTACAGGATTGGGAGGTGCCTAGAATGATTGAATTTTATAGAACACTAAAACAATGTAGTGGACTACAGGAGGGTGAAGATACACTCAGATGGCAAAAACACAGTAGTGGGATGTATTCAGTCAGCTCAGCATACAAAGATTTGAACCGGGAGGGATCTCAACTCAGTTTATGGCCTTGGAAACACATATGGAAAGTAAAATTGCCTTATAAAGTGGCTTGTTTTACCTGGTTGGTAATTAGAGAGGCTGTCCTCACTCAGGATAATCTAAGGAAGAGGGGTATACCAATTGTTTCAAGATATTATTTGTGTGGGAATGATGCTGAGACAATCAGCCATCTGTTTCTTCATTGTAGAGTGACCAGTCAATTATGGGATTTGTTCATTAATCTCAGAGCTGCTAGATGGGTAATGCCAGGGAGAACCTCTGAACTTTTATTATGCTGGAACACAGAGGTAGACTTTACCACAGACAAAAACAGATAGAAAATTGTCCCAGCAACTATTTGGTGGACAATTTGGAAAGAAAGGAACCTGAGATGCTTTGAAGATACAACCAACTCTCTGCAAAAGATTAAGATGAAGTGTATTCTTCTTTTTTGTTTTTGGTGTAAATCAGAATATGTAGAGGATCCTGATTCAATCCTAGATGTTTTGAGTTCCTTGTAAGAAGAACAAGGACTATATTTT